CGGAGACGCCGGGCTGCGCGCCCCCGGTCACGGCCCCGGGCGCTGCGCGCTCCCGGCGGCTCCGCGGGGTTGGGGGGGGAGGGGAGGGGAGGAGGGGCGCGTGACGGGCGGGCGGAGCGCGGGGGCGTCGGCCGCGGTGGGCGGTGCCTTCGCTCCGGCACCGCCGAGACGGAAACTGCGGGCGGCGGAGCTGCGGGGCGCTGCTGGGACGGCCGGAGCCGTCCGCACCCGCCCGCACCCGCCCGCACCCGCCCGCACCCGCCCGGCGGGCTTCCCGGCTGCTCCGGGCGGGAACCCTTCAGCCCTGCTCGGTTCGAGGCGCGCACGGCGCCTCGCTGCCTGCCCTGGAGTGGCGGCTCCCTGAGGTGCCCGCATCGTCGCTTAGATGCGGTGGAAGCAGAGGCGCTTTAAAGGAGTTCTGTCAGCGCTGTTGAATCGAAGTGACAGCCGCAGGCCTGAGGCTGCAGTAGTCGCAGATAACCCGAGCTAGAAGGATCATCGAGTCCAACCGAGGATCATCCGACACCCGGCTCCACTCAGCACCACTCAGCATTCAAACCCGATGTCTGAGTTGTCCAAGCGTGCCACGTTCAGTTTTGAGCCCCTCACTATGGGATACCTAGTGGGTCAAATGTGTCCAGAGAAGAGTAGTGAAGCTGGCAAAGGGACTGGAAAACTGCACTTAGGAGCAGCTGGGAGAACTGGGGCTGTTCAGAGAAAGAAGACCTGGATCCTCCAGCTGCCTAAAAGGAGCTTGCAGTGAGGAGGGTGTTGGCCTCTTCTCATCTGGCAAGTGATGGGACATGAGGCAACGACCTCAAGTTGCACCAGAGGAGGGTTTTTAAGTTGAATATCAGGAAGAATCTATTCATGGTGAGGGTGGTCAAGCATAGGAATGGGCTGTATTTAAGAGATGTGTGGATATAGCACTAAGGTTTAGTGTTGGGGCTCAGTAGGTTTGGCAGATGGTTGGACTTGATGTTCTTTCCAACCTCAATCACTCTGTGTTTCTAGGTTTCTCTGCTTAGCTTCTCTCATTTGTTTTCAGCCTTGTTTCTTTTCGTTTTTCCCACTTGGTGTTTAGAAAGAGACAAAGCATCCCTGTCTTACATGGGCATTCCAAATGTTATCTTTTCTGATACTGATTGCACTGCAAAGGAGGCCAGGACTGCTTCAAGTGTTCAAACGTGGATGCACCATCATTTTTTACATTAGCATAGAGTTATTTCCTGTTCTATGCAGATGAAAAAACAAGTTCTTCACAGGCAGCATTTAAAGATACTACTCGAGAAAACAGCCTTCCATGGTCACAGTCAGGAAGGAGCAAAAATGTTAGATCAGGCAAATATGTAAATGAATGATCTAAGGGATGGAACATTTCCCCTATAAGGACAGGTTGAGAGAGCTGGAGCTGTTCTGCCTGGAGTAGAGGATGCTCTGGGGACACCTGAGAGTGGCTTTTTAGTATCTGAAGGGGGATTATAAGAAGGAAGGGGACAGCCTCTTTATTAGGGTCTGTTGTGACAGGACAAGGGGAAGTGGTTTCAAACTGAAAGAGGGCAGTGTTAGGTTGGGCATAAGTAATACGTTTTTTTTACAGTAAGGGTAAAGATCAGGTTGGATGGGGCCCTGGCAGCCTGATCTCGTATTAGATATTGAGGTTGGCAGCCCTGCCTGCGGCAGTGGGTTGGAGTTTGATGATTCATGTGGTCCCTTCTAACCCAAGCCATTCTATGATTCTATAATTCTATGATTTTTAGGGTGGTGAGGCACTGGCACAGGTTGCCCAGAGAGATGGATGCCCTGTCCCTGGAGACATTCAAGGTCAGGCTGGATGGGGCTCTGAGCACCCTGATGTAGCTCTAGGTGTCTTTGTTCACTGCAGGGGAGCTGGACCAGATGGCCTTTAAGAGTCCCTTCCAACTCAGACAATTCTATGATTCTATGAAGCCCTTAAAGCTGTGATCCCACAGCCCTTCTATGGGACCTTGTGTCACTGTCCTGTGTGATTGACTGTAGGAGGTATGGCTGGACCAGATGGAGTCAAAATCAGACAGAACTTTATTTTTGATTGCACTTCAGTGAATGCTGAAACTATCTGGAATGCCACAAGTCCTTTCAGTGTGAAAATTCTTTAGTGTAGAACCCAGAGCTTTCTGTAACTGCCAACAGTTCTTCACCCACAGTACTTTCTGAACTGTTCTGATCGAAGACAACAAATGACTCATCATAACATAAAGATATAAATGAATGTCTCAAGGACTAGCATGAGGAAGTAGTAAATATGAAGATTTAAGAAAATAGACATCAGTAGGTTTAAAATTTTTTTTTTATTGTGCTGCCAAGAGCCAAATTACAAGAAACCGCCTTACAGTTAAAAAAGTAAACAAGCAATCTGCTGAACCGCAGTGCACTCCGAGTGCCACATATGCATCTATTTTTCAGAAAATTATATCTGCATTTCTCTTACAAGAGCACAACAGGAACCAAAGTAAAAGAGTGTAATGGATACAGCACATAGGATAAATCATATCTTTAAAATAATAATAATAAAATAATAATAATAAAAAACATTTTACACCATGTCCTATATCCTGCTAATATTTTCAGAATATGGCCTTGATTGTAAAACAAAAGCAAGCATTTACAATTTCTGGATAAAGACTGCTTACTCTTATGCAAGGAATGGATGTCTTGTCTTGACAAAATCTTTGTAGTAACTGGACAGAAACGTCTCTGTTTCAATATCAGATTGAGTACAAAACACTGGGGAGACCACATTTTTTCTTATTGGTGGTTGGAAATGGAAGTTACATAAGCAGAAAAAATGTTGACCCTTGATGATACACCTATTTTTTGCTTTGATGCAAACAGCTAGAACACCTTTTTGATATTCTAAAACAAACAAAAAAATTGTTAATCTTCAGATTAATAAATTAGGTCATTATAATAATAAATTAGGTTTTTTTTTTCTTTTCAGTTTTTAAAGTTCAGCAACCTCTGACCAAGTATTTACAACAATACTTGAGAGTTCCTTTACAAAAAATACATTTTCTTTTCACATTAAGCATACTGGGTATCTGTGTCTCTTATGACAAGCATTTGTAAAAGAAAAAAGGCAATGCACAAATGGGTAATTAGTATAAAAGTGCCAAGACCTGTTTGGAAAGTTAACATTGTATTATACAGCCAGAGTTATAAATGAGGCAAGCTACAACAAACTTCCAGCTTAATGTGGACAATATTCCAGTAGTTGTTTCAAACAATTGTTTGAAAAAAAAAAAAAAAAGAAATAAAAGAAAGGAAAAAAAAAAACAATAGAAAATCCAGGAGCTGATGGTGTTATTCTATGGAGCTGATTAGTGCTGCATGTATATTGTCATCAGTGTCTCTAGCCAATGCATTCATTAAAAAGCCTTTTTAAGGCTAAGCAGGAAAAGAAAAATAAGAAACACCCTGAAATGTAGCAAGTAGCAAGAGCAACGCTTACTGCTATAATCGTGCACGTACTGTACACACGCAAACACAAGAGTGCACACACACACACACACGCACACAAACACTTTCAAATCAAATCAAACTGTAGGTAGAATGAGATGCTCTTTTCTCGTCTTTTCTAAACTCACAAGTGATTAAGCACTGATATGGAATGCCTGTTTATCTGTTTTTGCTCTGGGTAAAATCTCTCTCAGATAAAAATACATTCAACAAGAAAAAAAAAAATAGAAAAAATATATACTGTATACATAGTATTTTATATATACAGTATATATACGTATAGTGTACATACACATGCATGTATATATACATACGTATACCTACATGCATTTGTATATACATATATATACACAAACATACAAATACTTTTTGTTGTTTTTAGCATAATTATATTTACATAAATATTCCTATAATGCTAAAGTTTAAAGAAGCATGATCTCCTTTTTTTCTGAGCTTCAAAAAAGGTGCTTGAGTAATATACAATTAAAATTAAGCAGCTTCCTAGCATGGAAGTAGTTTCTAAATCTGCATACCAGTAAATAAGAACATCAACAGGAAAAAAAACCAAAAAAACCAACAACCTTAAAACAGTCTCTTTTTTACTCTCTTTTAAGCAAGAGCTTTGTCCAACAAAAAAATATTTTTCCTTCTCCTGTATGAACAACCAGAGATTGATATCAAATAACATAACGAAACCACAACAGACAAACAAACAAACAAAAGCCCCTGGAACTGCATGGTGTTCTTGACTTTTCCTTCCTTCCTTCAATACTGCTGTCAAAAGATCCAGTGCTCATTTCAGGAATTACTTAGGCCTCAGTCATTTGCTAACTCTGCCAAAGTCTGGCTAATCTAGCCAATCAGCTTTGAAGAAAACAAAAATAAAACAAAAAACAAAAAGCAGCACAAGGTGTAATTTTGTACATCCTTAATAAACCCACCCTTTATTTTCTGCTATAACCTTTTTCTTGCTATTTCATTAACTACTGCAGCTTCTCAACATATAGAAAAATATTTGCAGCTACACCACACCTGTGATGTGACAAATTCTGTTCTATGAGTATATTACTGTAGCAACAGCTGGAAAGAAAATGTCAGACCTTTTTATTTTATTTTTTTTTTCACTTGGGGTTAGGATTTGCTGCAACAGATGCAATTTCAGAACAACAAGAAAAGCCCCACTGTCCTGCTGCTTGGTGGTATTTATTTATTTTCTTCTCCAGCCAAGCATGACCAGCTTTTCTTCTCTGAAACCTCCTTTTACCTCATTGCCTACCCCCTAGCCCCTGATTCCCCCTCCCAAAAAACCTCTATAGCTATGTTACAAGCAAATACACCTTAACAAGTTTTAAAACTTTGGTTCTAAGAAAACACTTGGTCAGTTATCTCAAGGAAAAGTGGGAATGCTTTTTCTGGCACATTGCAGGAGTCAGAGCTCATCCCAGTAAGGTCTTAGAGCTGTACATGTAGTCACAAATCCAATACAATCCACTAAGCAAGTGCACGATTCTAGCTTTATTTTAATAGCAGACTTAGTCTCTTTCTCTCTCTCTCTCTCTCTCGTTCTTAAATCCTTGGTAAGGGTGCAATTCTTCAAACTGTTTGATAGAAATTATCTGCCTGTAGGTTGTTCTGTTTCTGCATGCTGTAAAATCCGCTGTATCTTGAATCTGGGTCTGCAATTCTTAGCATCCTCTGAGAACTGTCCACCTGGACCATGGTACCTTTCTTGCAGTCCACATATACCAGTTGATTGTTTAGGCAAGATGGCTGTTGAGACAGAAAGAGAACACTGAATCAGTTATTTTTTTTCTGTATTCGACCCACTGTTAGCAGGTGTTTGTGGTACAAACCCATAAACACAAAGGGAAATCAAATTGGCAATGAAACAGTTTGGACTCTTGCTAAGCTTGGTAAAGGTTGATGCCAAGCACAATGACAAACCAACAGCCTCTTACAAATCACTGTTTTTCATCTTCTCAGTAAAGTTCTGGTATTCTCTTTTCCCAGTTAAACTGTTACCTATTAGTCTTCCACTACACAAGGACTTAAACTTGTTGCCTCAGAGGTGCAGGAGGTTGTTTCCAAGACTTTAATGGCCTCTTTATAGCTGATCGTTTTTGAGAATGTTTTGTTCTTGGTGACAATACCACTAGGATAATGGGAGAGATTTCTTTTATTTTTATTTTTATTCAAGCAATTGAAGTTGATTGTCTCCTCCATTAAATGTGAGATTCTGTTACCTTAAGGAGCAATTCTATGGAAACCAGTTGACTCACAGGTAAGAAAAGAGTTTACAACAAAACAAGGAATAAAAACACAAAAATAAGGCCACATTTTACAATATTAAAGTGTTATTTTATGTGACAAGAAGAAGCGGGAACAGCAGTAGACAAGATCTCCCATTTATTTCCTAGACTAAATTTGAGAACGTATAGCAGAAGTGCAAAATCGCCTAGAGAACTGTGGAAAAACCTGTCATTCCTGACAGAGAAACAAGCAGTATATGTTTTCTTCAATAATGTACCCATCTTCTACTGGATCTGATGTATCATTGTCCTTTAAGTACCCCTTCTTCTAAAGCTCTTCAATAAAATTATCTCATCCTGTGTACTATTAGATAGCTTAGAACCTATGCGTCGATTTTTAGATTAACATCAAATGTATATATATTTTTTCTGCTTTCTCAGCATATTTAAATAACTGCAAGCACAAAACCTTTCTCCTGCAGCCATCATAGAGAAAGCAGAAAGAAAATCTGATGACATGCAGCTTAAAGGGTATAATGGAGCATTTACTCCTTGGAAAAGTAGTTCCAATCCCAAAACTCCTAAGAACAACAAGGACTGTGGGAATATTTTTGCTCAAAACACTACATTATTTTATTTCATTAGCATCAGGAAGATAAAAGACATGAAAAGCTATATAGTAATGGTTTATAATATCAGTAACAACTCTGGAAAAAATGAAAGATATCCTCTGAAATAGTACACTCGACTATTAAAAGTGCCATTTCATGCGACTGCGTTATCACTGGATAGGCTTTAGTCTATGATATTTCTAGTATAAATAAAATCTGTAATAAAAATCTTTATTGGCTTCAAATTCATTAAACTTTTTGCAACCAATCAGTGATTTTATGTTAAAAATGTCCAATATAATGTAGTTATTAGAAAATGTGATGAACATTACTAGTACTTACAGTATCTGATGTTGGACAATACTTTGAAAGTGGAAAGTTTAGAAAACAAAACCTTTCTCCCAAGTGATGACTGCAGATGAGAACTGCATACAATTATGTACACTCATATAAAGTTGGGAACTTTTTTAGATTTTTTTTTGCTGAACTTGATTTCTCTCCAGTCTCCACTCATCACTGCATCAAGCAAGAAATTACTGGCATTCATTCAATAATGAAAATAATTATTCAGGAGATTAAATAAACACCACCAGCCTCAAAGGTATAAAAAGGATTCAGGCTTAAATGAAAAATAACTGAGTTTGTATGATGTGAATTCAATTGCATCTCACAGAATATTCTAGTCAATCTCATTTTTCAGAAAGGTGAGAAGCTGGAAATAGGCATGAATATGGCACCTTTGTTGGAGCTTTGTAGCAGGACACTGGAATCCACTGCTTTTTCTGATTGATGAGCAGAAAGATGATGATTACTAACAGCGCTATCGTGATTAGAATTGTCACCAAGGTAACAGAGCTAACTGATGCATCTTCACTGGGGTGTGGTCCACTTCCACTTCTGTAATCTCCCTGGAGATGATTCATGTCTGCAAGACAAATGTAGGCATTTGACATTAGTAATGATAAACGGGCTCTTATCCACAAATAATATAAAAGCCTCAGTCACAAACCTTGTCATTTTCATGAATTTGGACTTTTTCTCCTGAAATGTCCCTTTTTCATATACATTAGAATAACTGAAAGCTAGTAGTCTAGTGACTTTTCCTGGCTAATATGAGTATATTAGCCAGGAAAAGTCCATCAAAAAGAGGAAATTGGATGGAATCTAAAGGAGCAATAATAAGCAACTGTGACAGCTCAGTTGTATTAACTTCATCTTATCTGATCACAACCAAATTCCCACTCATAGAAAAATTTGCTGTATTTCTGTGCAGCAGAAAACCTGGTAGTCTTACAATGAAAAGTTGTTTGTTTGGTTTATTTTTTTAATAATTTTAATTTTTTAAAGCTGATAGAGCAGTTCAGTCCTGTCTGTTCTTGCCTGTTCTTGCACCACTCAGCCTGTGAAAACAGCCCACTGGCAGTCTAATAGACTCAGTTTTTCATGTAATTTCAAAGCACAGTCATTTTCAGTGACACTATTCCCACACAGTTTTCGGTACACATTTACGGTTTCTCAGCCAGGATAGACACAAGCCAACTCCCAACACCTCTGAAATGTGAAAATGTTGAAATTATAAACAGTGTAACTCTATAGTTTTGTAACGTAGTTGTATTTTGGATATCCCTTCTCCTAGCCACCAAGTAGTAGCATGTGATGATATGATACTTGGATACAGAAAAAAAATATATACAAATTTTAATAGTCCTTCAATTAGAAAAAGTTAGCAAAGAGTGTGACATACAGTGTTTTCCCCTACCCTGCTGGGTAGTGTAGTTTTAAAACGAAAGATGGATTTACACCATTAGACAATTTTAACAGTCTTGTGTCATTACACAGTAATGTAATAATTACACAGTGTTCTGTTCCACAGCTGTTCCACAGTTTTTCTACGATATATTCAGTGTGGGACTCAAGAATATGGGGTGAAATTCTTTTAAGTCACGTGCAGAATAGAATAAGGGGCAATGGACAAAGACTATAACACAGGAAGTTCCATTCAAACATGAGCAAGAACTCCACTGTTAGGGTGATGGAGCGCTGGAATAGGCTGCCCAGAGAGGTCATGGAGTCTCCTTTTCTGGAGATAGTTAAGACTCGTCTGGATACTTTCCTGTGTGATCTACTGTAGGAGACCTGCTTTAGTAGGGGGTTGGACCTGATAATTTCCCTTCCAACCCCTGCAACTCTATGAAGGTACTGTACGTTCTTCTGTTTTTATCTTTCAGTACAAGAATGTCAAATGGACCAAATCAATGTTCATTGATGCCTATGGCATAATAACATCCTGCTTTCTAGCTTGTGTATGAAAAAGAGACTGCAGAAGCACTCCTCATTCACCAGTTTATCATATTCATAACTGTACAGAACTTTCTCATACCAACAAAGATGTGTTTTCCAAGCTGAAGATGTAATGATAATGAGATCAAGTTCTTTAAGTATACTTTAACAGACTGAGTCCTCTTTGCTCAAAACAGTGCTCAATAACAGAATAATATTCTCAGATAACCATCTTTTTCAAAGCATTACACAGATGCTACCAGAATTGAAAAAAATAAGCACATTAAAACATGGGGAATAGTCACAGATTTATGTTAGCCCCATTTCTATCAGATCTTACCTCTGTGAATGTGGATGATGTCATTTTCACTTGGTGTTGACCAGTTTGGCACTTCTAGTTCAACATCTCCTCGATGATTTGTCTTCTCAATAGGGATGTTAGTAGGTTCAGGTACATACATCTCTGAAAAATGAGATGAATGTCTTTCACAAATTACAAGCTTCTTAATTTTCTGGTGCTGCTCTTAATTCAGTAGATAACGTCTGGCTATCTGCAGTGCTTTCTACTATGAATCATTTCATTTGTTTTAGAATTTTCTCCATTACAGCTATGGGATATGGTTTTAATTTGACATAATATATTTAATTTGTGTTAAATATTTCCACTGTATATAAGATTCATGCATGTTGTCATAATCATTATACTAATGTAAAAGGAATGATGTAGTCCTGTAAATAACTTTTTGTTTTTTAAAAAAACATTTCAGAATAGATGGCTAACGCTTGGTTTGTGATACTAAATATAAAAGATGCCAAGACAGGACTACATCCTTCCAGCTGGTAATAACTGACAATTTTTTTTTCTTCTCCTGTAGTTTCCAAATAAGGAGAATTGAAAGAGATGCTACTGCTGAATTGTCCCGTCAGAAGTAGTTATTAGCTGACTCAGTAAGAAGGGAAACACCTGCAAAAATATGTCAGAAGTAGCATTAAAAAGCAGTTGCAGTTCTTATGTCCCTTGTGTCCACAGCTAAGACAATTTCATATTACATATGTATCAAATTAAAATATGTTAGTAATGAAGTATTTGAAAAGTAGTGATCTAGAGGGGACAGAAATATTAATTACTGGGCAAATACACAGAAGTGCAAAACAATTCATTTTCCTACTTCATTCGTTTATTTTCATAAGTTTGTATACCAACAGACAGCAGAAGCAAACAAACAAACAAACAAAAAAAACAATTTTTGAATCTGCAGTTCTTAGAGTAAATAAAATTCAAACTATATGTTTGCACAATTTGCTATCTGTTATTCATTTTCCTGAAGCCTAAATGTCTCCATGACATCATTCAATATGGACTGATGTTCAAAAAACAATAAAAAGCCTAACTGTCAGTCCTGGAAAAGAGCACTGCAATAAGCTAAGTCGTTACATCACATTACCTGGGCACATAGGACAGCAGCTTCCCTCCACATTGATGGGTTCAGCACAGGGGAGGGGTGGGCAGCTGACAGTGGAGCAGAGAGTCTGGCCCTGCAGGCAGTAGCAGTGCGTGCAGCTGTCGATGTCCCAACGCTCCTCATCTGCGTATGTTTTTCCACTGAAGTGGCAGACCACTTTCTTTGGTACTGTGTCTTCTGTTGAAGAAAAACAGAGCAGTGTTGGGATGGCCAATTGCACGCAGACCTGATCTTTTCCCAAAATAGAACAGTGAAAAAATAACTAAGAAGAAATCCCAGCTATAATTAAAAGACCTTCTTCTCTCCACATCTTTCATAGATTTTTCAGAAATATAATTTCTGCTTCTTTATGAAGTACATCACCAGCCCAAACTAATGCTTCTCATTTTCCTCATGCAAGAGGCTAGAAGATGGATGACTGGGACACGAAGCAGTGATATCAAAAGTACTGTGAAAATTAAGATGAGAGAAATTTTTTTTTGTAACTGTTTGAGACTCCTAACTCATCCTCCTCTTCTTTTCCTAGTAGATCCTATTTAAATCCTATTTAAGAAGAAAGCCAACCTACAGTTCTAATTACCAAGATTCAAGACAGACAAAATCAGTCTGGAATGCTTCAAGACAAGACTAGGAAGGATGCCAAGAAGAAGGAAGCAACTCTTGAGTGATGTAACTAGAAGAGTTTCGAGTATTATGACAAAAGAGATATAAGGGGATATGCTTATTCTTTGTAACCACATCAGTGGGAACTCCCATGAAAAGGGTAGCAAGTATGTTTTTTCATGGTCAGTATTATATAAATTGGAAATTGGCACAATTGTAACCCTCAAAAAAGTTAGGTTAGATTCCTGAACACTTTTTCCAAAGATTGAGTGCTACAGAACCAACATTTTTTCAGACAGATTTTCACACATTATGAGACCTAGATGTGATAAATAAAGTAGGTCTTGGGAAAACACGCAAAACCAGCATTCACTTTCTTTTTAAGCATCCAATACATCTTTATTTTAATGCTGATACCTACGCAACTCTTTCAGATTGCCTGTATTATACTTTCAATTTCACTGAGAAGATGATCGTGAATTGCTTAACTTAAGATGTTTATTTGCTGCTATAGCATTTTACAGATCATCAAACAAACAAAAAACAGTACACAGCAGAACCTCCAAAACCCAGACAGAACCTCATTTTCATCATAGCTTCTCAGTACCTTTTTCTGCAAGAGGCAGAAGTTATTATGAAGAATCATAGTGATGATACTGGATTTGCAGATTAAGCAGATGCATGAGACAGCAGAACCAAATTGCAAAGAAACCCACTAAGCTGTTAGAGAAATATTGGTTTAATATCCATACAGATTACATACATAAATATGTCAGCTAGAATTACCTCCCAAATATAAATACAAATCCTTATTAAATATTTTGGCCATCATTATAGATTTTATTTAGAGACAACATAAATAGATCAATATTATCTACAATAAAAAGGTTTGCAGTCAGCAGACCAGTGTCATATATCTGGACACAGTAAATTCAAATACAAAAGAAGACTACTGAGTACTACTGAGAAAATACTAATGAAAGCTTAAAAGTTCCAGAGGTCCTTGAATTGGGCATCCATGTGTCCATAGATGTAACTTCAAGTAGAAGATTTCTATATGAATATGGGATATAGGAAAGTAGGAGTGGGAGGAAAAAGTGGTCAAAAGCTCCAAAAAACACCTATAATTTTCATTTTAAAATGATTATTTTTGTGTTAAAAGTGTTCATAAAGAGGCAATGAAGACCTGTTTAGGTTAGGATGTAGGTATGGCAAGGGACAGAGTGAGAAGCACAACCTGAATAGTTCTCTATTTCTTACTCTTAATTCAGAACTAAAGCTGAGCACTCCCTGTTCACCCTGGGCTGATCTACTCCCAGAAATGTTACCTTGCCCCACTCAGGACAGCTTCTTCAAGTCTGCAGCCCTGTTAGCTGGATGGCTGGAGAAGTCCTTTAACTTGGTCAGGTTTCATGAGTTTATATAGAACACAACAAAATGTAATACATACAGTGTTTTTTTTTTAGAAAAATGAACAAAGATAAACTCAGAGTAGCAGTCTTGCACCTCTGAATCTTTAAAGGAAGATCCTGTGCATATCTCCTGCTTGATATCCATCTCTATAGGAGTATAAACACAGCATAAAGATGAAGGCTACAACACCAACAAGCACTCAAGAAGAGTGGAAACAAAGGAGAAGTACAGCGAGAAACCCACATGGAAAAATGCAGTTCAAAAAACAGTGTGCAGCTCTACTTGTCTTTTCTCATATTTCCTCTAACTTCACCAGGAAATCAAACACATCTGGCAAACATACAAAGCCAATGTTGCTTTGTGCATAAGAGTAATCTTTTCACTCATCAAATGGACATCCCTTTACCCTCTCTAATGTAGATGGTTATTTTTCCTAATTAATATTTCTTTGCACAAGAAAGAAAAATGTTGAACACAGGATGAATTTGAGAATTCAGAAAACAACAAAGCATCCAAGGCCTGCGAGATTTTGAATTTAAATCTGTGCTGACTTGTTTGACATGAACAAGATCTGGCTCCAGAAAGAAGTAGAATAAAAGACAGTGCTAAAATCCAGCATCATTTTTGAAATTTCAAAAAATGAAGAAACCTTGTTACTACTACTTGTTGCCTACTAAACACTTCATCAACTATTACATGAAAATAGGAAGGAAGAACCTCTACCAAGATGTTCTTCACAGTTCTCAAGACATAAGCAAAAAAGTGAGAAACATGAAGGTTTTATTCTCCATTCTGTGAAATTCCACATGGTTCTGTTTATCATCTGCAGTTGCAATCTTTGATTTGTGGTATTGCATATCTTGATATAACATATACATCATCAGTCAGATCTTCCTCTAAATCCTCAAATCTGTATGAAAATTATGTCTTTATATTCCCATGCTTGTACCTTGAAACTGCAAATAATGATCCTCAAAGCTCCCTATGCAGATTTTAATCTTCAGTTCAACAGAAAGCACAAATGGCTCTTCCCCAAAACAGGAAAACATATTTCAATTTGGAAATAAAACTTTCTCATTCCCAAGGAAGGGGTAGCAAGTTATGGACTATTTTTATTTGCTCACCAATACAGTAAGGACAACACTGTCCCTTTCTCAAAACAGGTCTCTCACAGGATACTGGTGGGCAAGACTCAGAATAGCATCTAATTACACCATCCATGCAGATGCAGCTGGTGCAGACATTGGGCTTCCAGGACTCAGCTGTCAGAAAAATATCTCCTTCATCATTTTTGCAATAACTGGGCATGCTCACATTGCTTGACAAAGAAGGCTGAAGAGGCTCGTCTGTAAATAGAAAAAATTAAGTTAGTTAACTTACAGTAGCTAACTTCCTTTGATATTTCTTCTACATAGGGTTCATCCTTGTCACGCTTGCAGCTCATAAGGATCTCATTATATGCTCTAGAATAAAGTTGATGCAAACCTTTACCGAGTTTACTCAAGAAAAAACAACAAGCAAACAAACAAAAAGATAGTGAAATCATGAAATGATCATTGTCAGAAGCAGCCTCTCAGAAAGGGACTCTGAATGTTCTAAATGGAGTGGCATATAGGAATTCATCTTAAATCAGAGATATTGAATTTTAAGCCTAAAAGCTGAATCCTAGATTCAGTTCCAGGCCTTTTGTGATGAAAAGTCAAAAGCTATTATGCTGCTATCATCTTCTCCAGTCTTATAGGAGATAATTATAAGCTGTGGAGAAGCAGATGGAGCTTGATCAGGCTTCATCTTGATGCTGATGTGTTGGCTTTGATTCTCAGGCACTCACACAGGGGAGATATTTCTGCAATGAAGCTGTATCTTAACAGACCATAGATCCAGAAATACAAGTGTAGGTACAGAGAACACATTAAAAAAAAAAAAAAAAAGATAAAAAGATTCATAAGGGGACTCAGATCAGATTCTCAATCTAACTATGCAAAATAGGAGACTAAGCTTCTCACATAGCCAGTGAAGGATGAACTTCTCCAAACATTTATTTATGTCTATTTTGAAGATAAACAAAAAAAAAATGTTCACGGTTAATAATTAGAAAAATGGTTGTTGGGAGAACAGGCTAACATTTTTGCTGAAAAAAACCTTGCCAGGAAAAATAACAACTCCCAAACCAACAAACACCCTGTGTAAGAAATGGCAAAACTTAGTTTAAGTAAAATGTTTAGATTTTGTTTTTAATAAAGAAAAAAATATTTTCTCAATGAGTTTACATATAGATCCTAGGTCTGCACTGAACTTCCACTGCATTACATGCCATTTGCTATGTAAAACAGGAATTCACATTTATTTATAATTGTATCTCTATTCCTAGGGAAAAGCAAATCTTGTTACCTTCTTGACACTGTGCGGCAGTCTACTGCTGGGCTGGAATGGTCTGATATTAGTCAGCTACAGTCAAGTCACTCTCAAATCATATCAAGTGAGGATAAAAACAGCAAATTTTCTTTTGTGACCAAATCCCAAATATCCAACCCTTACATTATTAGATTTCCCTCAGAGAAGGTGTCCAAACTTCAGGACCACAGTTCCACCAGCAGATAACTATTGCACAGAGTCAAATTTTGTAATTGAAATGTGAGGATTGCAGGCTTAAACTCCAAAATGCTAAAGGAAAAAGGCAAAGCAACAACCAACTGTGCACACACTGAAACAACTAGTATTCATAATATAGATTGTAAAATCAAGAAAAGACTGATGAAAACTAGCTGTCAATATATACCTGGGCACTGAGGACAGCAGGAGTCCTGTGTGCGAGTGGGGTTTTGACAAAGAAGAGGAGGACAGACTTCAGTCTCACAAAGGACTCGTCCACTGTGGCATGTACACTGTGTGCAAGAATCAATGTTCCATGTTTCTCCTTCTACAAAGTATTCCCCACCAGGAGCATGACAAATTGATGGACTAGTGAGCTCTGGCTTCTGCACAACTATTTCATCTGGAAAAAACAGAATTAGAAGATAAGAAAAATCAACTGTGATTCCAATGATTAAAACATATACTCAACCTTTTATTTCTTGCTGTTATTATAGAAAATATTAGTATTAGCAAAACCAGCTATAAATCCACTCCTAAAGAAACTCTTTTTAACTCTGTGTCACTTACTTGTATCTCACGGAAAATGTAAAAAAGGTGAAAAAGGAACACTTTGGGAACCAATTTGAATAAATGCTGGTTAATATACATCAGAGATAACCAAGTACTCTTGGAATTTTGGAAAGAAAGCAAACCAATCTACAATATAGAAATTCCAAGAGACAACTGTCATTTTCTGAAAATATATTCGAATTGCACAATTTCTTAATTGCTAAATATTAACATAAATGCAATTCCTGAAAGGATAGATAAGTATGTATGCAGTCTGGGATTTGAGAAGATTCAACAACCTATGATAAAATTCTGATGTGATTTTGCCCATAACATTCAATGCCAGACTAAAACCAAAACCAGATAATCTCCATCCATAGCTCCTAAAAACTTAAAAGCATTTAACACTGGAAATATGTCACTGAGAGATTGTTTCATAAAGAAAAATTAAAAATTAAAAAAAAATAATCTGTAGTAATGACTAAAGTAAAAACAGTACCTAAGATGAACCCAGTGAGTAGACTTTAATTTTCAGTGATTATCTCACCAAATTAATCTTAGCTCCTTTTCACGCAATTAATTACATTAAGTCTACAGCCCTAGCCAAAGACTCATCCAGCCTGGATTAGAAATCCAGGCAGTTAGAGAATGGATTTGACCTCCTTCAAGTCTTCCAACCATGAGGACATCCAAATAATGGGGGAGCACTCTCCACCAAAGGGTATTTTGAAAATAAAAAAAGAGACCTGCCTTTCATTTAGACAGTGTTTAAGCAATTACTATCAGTGAAATTCTGCCATGGACTACACTTGCACAGTCTGGTTAAAAAAGTTCCCACTGCACATAATGGATGAATTTCAAAACAACAACTTTGTGATTTTTTTCTAATAAATTTACATAGATGACAGGTTGGCATGTTGGTTGCTGTGGACTTGGCATGAGCCAACAAGCTTTCTCCATGCACTGCATATAGGAATCAAGCTGCCCCACTTAGCATGCTTTATTCAACTCCATGAGCCACGAGTTGCAATGTGAAGCTGCAGGCTTGCTAGTGCACATTGCTCTTTGGCCTTAATTCAAGCTAACTGATGTTGGACATTAAGAATCGAGCTCCCTCAGAATTCCTGTGCTGTGAAGAGAAGGGATTAGAAAGTGACCCAGGTAATGATTCAGTATTCCTACACCATTTTCTGTAGGTCCCTCTCTCCTACTTTTGTCACTTGGATAGCCCAAGGCTAACACCATGCACATGCTTTTCACCATGTTCTTAATAATATTTGTCTGATTAATTAAGTTTGTGCCCTTTGCTCTGTGGTGTTGCTTCATAGAAGATGCCCAGTTCCATCACTTGCTTTCTCTTCTAGAGAATGACAGGTAGAGTTCAAGAAAATAGACTCAGGCTGATCTTACCCTGTTCAGAAAGCACTTTAATATTTTTTCCTTAAGGGAATTAACTCATCTGTCAGTGCTTAGCTTATGTCACCTTCTTCCCATTGCATATATTTCTGAACAGCAAATAGGATTCAGTAGCATTTACCACACTTGAAGTGACAGCTAGTCTGTCACTGTCTGACTTATTTCAGCTGGAACAATCTATTGCATTTTATGCAAAAAACATCCAGAGTCAAGCAAGCTTTGCATTAAGTTCTTTGCAAAGTCACAGCTTATATACTGCTCATAATCATAAATGCCTAACCAGAGAGTACTGCTGTATGTACAGCACTGCTTACAGCTCCCTTACCAGTATTGGTATTGATATATTATTGCAATTGAGTTGCTGCAAATGTGCAATTACTATATTCCTGATGGAGTAACTAGCAAGGCAAGCACATAGTCTTTCTGAGAAGCATGGTTCTGCAAAACACTAGAAGTTAATGGCTTTCTAAATCTTGCAGGAAACCTGGAGCTTTCCATAAGAACTGGTACAATCCACTTGAATCTCATAATATATAGAAACATGATTTTAATGAGTGTTTTAGCAAAGTATTCCTTGTTCTGTTGAAAACCAAATGAGCATAAACAACTTTTTCAGTCTGAAAAGAGATTTCAGAGCTGCCACTTCCCCGTCAGTAGGCTAAAAGTATGATTTAAAACTCACTACATCAGGACTGCTAATTATTTATGATAGATACATTTGACTGTCATGCTCACAACCTCACAAACACAACTGCATTTCTATCTGTAGAAAGCCATGATATTCACTTAATGGTATCAGTGTGGAATCAATACACTGCAAACTAAAACCAGAAGTGCATAGCAAATAAACAGAAAACCTTGGAGAAAGAGAACCCCTCAGAAACAAATCTGGCCATAAAAATTAATACTCACAGGTAACACACTGAAAGAAACTAATCTCTGGTTGACCTAGCACTGTATGCGTTTGCACCAAGTATGGCTTTGCTAGCACAGAAGCTAGATGACAAGTACCCTGTAATGACCAAAGAATGTTAGGCAGAGAAATCTAGGTAAATACCATATCTCTAGGACCATATCTGGACTCTACCGGGATAACACTGCACTCTGGTGTGGCAAATATCTTACATACAAACTGATAAAACCAGCCAGATGCTTAATAATGGGAGAGAAGGAAGTAAGTAAAGGATGGATCCTCAAGTGTGAATAAACCGTGGGAGTAACTTTCTTCATGTTTCCAAGTCAGCTAACAATTTCATTAATGGTTATCATTAATAAGATGTTAAGGGGAAATTGCTCAGCCTCAGTAAGCAGTGCTAAATTACTTAGTATTAGAAATAGCTCTGGCACTGTAAAAAAACTGCCAAAAGCAACACCATGACTGGCACTGGAACCACAGACACTGTGCCCACTCTCAATACTGGGAGCAAGTGGTACATGCTGAAAGAGGCTGAAAGGCAGATCAACCTTTTGTAATCCAATATCCTTTTGAGGACTATGTTTTTCTAATTACAACTGGGTGCAAAATGGACTGGAGATATTCGCTGAAGCAGTCTGAAGAGATCTACTCTCTAGGGCTGCTCAGCCTGGAAGAGAAGGCTCCAGGGGAGACCATAGAGATGCCTTTCAGTATCTGAAGGTAGGTATAAGAGAGAAAGAGACAGACTCTTTATAGCAGGACAGGGGGAAATGGTTTCAAACTAAAAAAGGGGTGATTTAGATTGGATATGAGGAAGAAGTTTTTTACAGTAGTGAGGCACTGACACAGGTTGCCCAGAGAGGTGGTGGATGCCCCACACGTGCAGACATTCAAGGTCAGGCCGGACAGGGCTCTGAACATCTGGTCTAGCTGTAGGTATCCCTGTTCATTGCAGGGATAAGACGACCTTTAAGGGTCCCTTCCAATTCAAAAGATACTATGATTCTATGATCTTATGACATCCTAGAAAGGATACACTCTTTTCTGTTGCTTTCAGGAAGAGGATTTGTCTATATATTTTGTTCCTAAGATTTCCTGTTCTTTTCATGGAATTTGAAACCATTCATAATTGCTTGAATCATGCAAGTGCTTTCTTACTATTGCATTATTCTTATGAGCACCATGAGCCTTGTTCCTACTTGTAACATGACTTATGATCAAGTCATAGACAATATAACGCTATTACAAATTAATCTATTCAGCATATAAAATACTGCAGGAATCAATCTGAAGATGGAGGGAATTACTCATCATCTGTCCACATTCTAAAATTCTAAAGTTCTTTCATAAATGTTTTTCATTTTATCACTTCTTATTACAAAGATATTGGAATGCAGCATTTATTGTACTGGTCTTCTCCCTGAGAGAATTAAAATTATTTTCTACCGTTGGTGGTAGTGGAACATTCCTTCAGAACACAGAATCATGATGTTTAATTGCCAAAGATATCTCTTTAAAAGTCTACTCCTCCAAGGAGCCAACAGAGAGGTGAATTTTAATGAAATTACACTTTAAAATAAAAAAGATAATGCTTGTAACAGCTTATTATATTTGCTATTATTGCTAATATAAACTGGAAACTGTTTCTTGTTTAAGGATTTCAGTGTATCAAAAATTAACATATTAGGACCTATAACACGCACATGTTTCATATATTCAAGTAACCACTTTTCAGATGTGAGATCTCAATGAAAGCCACTCATGATGTTATATTTGGACATAGAAACCTTCACTTATACTTATTACAGAATGAGTTTTCATGTATTAGGAAAGACACACATATGGAAAAGAAGCTCAACTACAAAGAACACACAAGACAGCATGTTACCTGGACATGATGGGCAACACTGCCCTGGATGTATGGTGGGATTGCCACAATTAGGAACAGGACAGGTGATCAAGGCACACATTTCCCGTCCGTTGTGACAGTAACATTCCCTGCATCCATCGTGCCAACTCTCCTCATTTTCATGTCGGCGCCCATCCACTGACAGGCAAGAGCCTGTTTTAACTGGAGGCATAAGAGAAGCAGTTGCCTCTGCAAGAAGGCAAAAGAAAATTTAATTTTCTAATAAGCATGTGTTGCTTAGAAAAACATAAATACTGTACGCCTGCCTTGCATTTATTTTTAAAGTACATATGAGATCAAGTTATTAATAAATGTATCATTTATATTTAGAAATAAAGTAAATTTGAGACATATGAAGTAATTCAAAGGTATACTGAAGGCTGTATTAAGACATAGTAAAATTTATTTCCTTGAAAAATATGATCAATTATTTCTGTTGTGCTTATACTTCTTTAATCATGAGGTGATGCAGCACTGGCTAAATAATGTAAGGAAATGGTAGAAAACATGAGGCATATTTAAAATTAAACAGAATAGTTTTAGATATTATCTGTAACGTGAGTACCAAATAGCCAGTAGAATATAAAAGCATTTACAAGAGCTAAGGATGGCTCCATATGTACCATGAATTAAAAAAATTACAAGCATGTTCTAATAGGGTCATGCCAGACACTGGAAATATTTCATAAACCACTACCTACAAGAAATTACTTGTGTTAGTTATTATGAATGATGTTTGGAAAGTGGCTGCTCTGACATTTTTATCCCTCATTTCTGGATCTTATTGATTTTATTAAGATGAAAATACAATTGTTTGGACTGCTGTGTTACTTGCTCTCAGCCAGAACAGGGAGGCTTTTGGCCTAGGGAGGATAAAGTCTCATTTGGATCTTAAGGGGTATTTAAGTGCAGAAGGACTCAGCCTCAATAAATTCTCTGTTAATCAGTAGTGAATTTAGATCCTAACAATCCCTCATCCACATCATCATGATGGAGGATTTTGGGTCAGTTTGTCAGTGAACTGACTTGCTTTCAGTGGTACATCAACACTTACATATGTAAAGCTGTTTGTATTAATATGCTTTCAATTATTCATTTAAAAAAATGGTGCAGAATGAGAAGAATTGTTAAAACATGTTTCTAGTTAATTAAAAAAAATATCACAAACCCTTCACAAAACTAACAGCACTCCAGCTGTGGTGGATCTATCAGTGGTGGCCTAGGAATGACAAGCAGATGCTATGAAGTGGGTTTGCTGCACATCATTTGAATAAGAACTCAGTACACAGATATTGCACTACCATGCTGTTTTGTGAAATGTAGAAAAAAAAAAGAGGCAAATGGGTACAATACTTCTAAAAGCAATGCATTGAACAGAAACAATTGCACACAGTTACTACACATTCAAATTGTAATACCAGATGATATATAGATTCTTTTTAAAATTCTGTCCTACATTAAAATCATTACTGATAAGGCTTTTTTTTTTTTTTTACAAAGATATTCTTACATCTACTCCTAAATTTGGAAAAGCAAAGCAAGCACATAAGCAGATATTTAAGATTAACACAAGAGTTTGAGATTGTTTTCATTTTCAGTTTTTAATTCAATGTTGCACAAAAGGAAATACTTAGAGAAGAAATCAGGTTCCTAAATACAAAATGAGAATAATTCAATATCCAGAGGTAAGACTAAAAATAAACAGAGAATTACAGTAGCTTACAAGGAAAATACAAGTCAGGAATGTTACACCACTGCAGAAAATGCAAGTTCAGCCTAAGGTACTGTACGGGAGCATCAGACATTCAAATGCAGCTCTGCAATCTGTACCAGTGGGCATTTTTTTTGCTGCTGCAAAAGTGCACTATCCAGTTTCAGAACTGTGAATAGGTATCACAAGTCCTGGGTTTTGTTGACTTTGAAAATAATACATTTAGGAGTCTCTAATTGCAAACCCTTAAATATTGCCAGAGTTCTAAAGGGAACAGTGAGAAATTGTTCCCTGAGTCTGCTGAGCTTAAGAAAATAAGTAGATAGTTAAATTCCTAGAAAGGATGATGAAAATACAAGAAAACTCATTTTAAAGTGTCTCATATTGGTAACCACATAAAAATATAAGTTAGAGAGTTTGGAGTAGATTTTTTTTTATTATTTTTTTAAATTTTTTTAAATATTTTTTTGAGATTGGAGGTTCTTAAGAAGTGAAATCATAGACAAATATCTGTTGAGGATTATCCAGATACACTTGGCATTATGTAAGGGCAGAGAAATGGACTCGTCTCTTTTTGGAGGACTATCTGATCTCTGTATTTCTATGGTTCTACTTTTATTTACTCCAGCATGTTAATTCCAGAAGAGGGAGATTAGAAAGTGGGGAGCTAATTCATAGGCAAGTTACTTACCAACTCACTCATCCTATTTAGGAACTTTGGATCAAACTTTAACGACTCCTGGCTTCCCCAGAACATACTGATGGTTGCCCTAGCTATTCTTGGATGAGTTGCTAATGATCACATAATTTAAGGGATAGATCATGATGATCCAGTGTTTAATCTCATGACATTTTGTTTTTACTAATAAAACAGAATACATTCTAGGCAGCAGCATGAGAATTTTTTTTTTTTTTAAACACAGGAGTGTGAGATCAATATTTGAAAACTCCAGCAGTGAAAAACATCTGAGGTAATAATGCATCTGAAGTATGGCCAAATCTCTGAAGTATCTCAGTACCCACAGCCTCTGAAATCTCATGGAAGTATGTATTATTGTGAAAATTTTATATTTAAGAATTTCTTACATTAGCCTGTTAGAATTTTACATAGATTTATGGTATGGCATTTCAATTCTTATAGGTTCTGTGTAACATTCCTTTGATTTGGCTTCTAAATGCTTTGAAAACATGTCACAGTGATAAATGGCAACACTTACCTCTGCATTTGCAGATAACACAACCGTGGCTGTTCTGCTGGAAACCCATTGGGCAGATTTTACCACAAGGCATTTCCGGGCATTTCTTACATCGACAGATTTCACAGCCATGCTTGTTCTTCCTAGATTACCAAAACAATTTGTTAAAGGTCAGCAGGATACCTTAAATGTCCAAATGTCATGGTTGAAGCAAAAGCAACCTCTAAAGTGACTGATCAAGTAAAGAAAATTGTCTTTAACATTCACTTATTTTCAGTATGCTCGTCAATGTTGCTGGCATGTTCTCTTCTCATGTGAATGGCAACAGGTATTTGGAAGTTTCAAGCCATAGCAGATAATACAGATCTAAATGCTTTTGACTCATGAATGTACTATATTACTAAAAGACTAAATAATTATTGTGCTGAAGTGAGATTTGCAGTGAAATGATCTTAAAATATTTCTTACTACAATTTTAGCCCTTCATGCTACAAATTGTTATATTTATGGTTATCATTAACATCATTCAATTCATTAACATCAGTGCCATTATTAATATTTTGTAGACAATGACAAGATTAGGGTGCTTATTTCCTTTTTTAAAAAAATAAAAAACATACAATAACATCAAACATTTAAAAAAACCAACCAAATCTTTTATATAATTGAACTACATCCTTCATCTAAAGGTAGAATTTAAATTGATGATTTTCAAATTAGCTTTAGAATGTTTCAGGTTCAGTTTACGTGTACAAAAATGCAACTGAAAGACCATCCCAAAGATAGGGCTCCTAACATGGTAGCACAAGCTTCACATCAGTTCGCTTTTAAGGCACCTTTATCTTACTCCATGCTACTATACCATGCTTATTATTTGCTATAATTTCTAAAATCCCTTCGTTTGATAATTCACATAGATTTACTAATATAAATGTTTTATGCATACTTTAATTAGAAAAGAGAGAAAGAAGTGTATGTTTCAACTTACTGAAGTACAGAAAGAACACTGAAATTTTTAATTTTCTTCTGTAGGTCAATATTCTAAGTCAGTCAGGACAAAAACGACTACTAAAAAGTATAATTCTGTGAGAGATTTAAATGTTACCATTTTATTAGACCTTCTAGTTGAAGATGAACCAGGTAGTTTGGTGCCAGTCCACAGAGCAGTCCTGAAGGGCATAATGCTTGTTCATGATCTCAAACTAAGCCTGCAGTTGCAAATGTCGTCTTCTCATTAGGCAAATGATCACCTAACATCCATGGCAACTGCACTAACATCAGTATCTGCCTCCTTTCAACATCTTCTTTTATTTATTGTATTTTTTAGGTTTTAAATTGTCAGTGCTTGAACTTTTGAGTCACCCCACTAAAACACTGGTTTTTGATTTGAGCTTTTTTCTGGATTCATGCCAACGACCACTGCAGTTCACCAGTTATAATATGTTCAGTCAAAGGAATTGAAAGAGCCAGTCATTATTAGCCCCATCACTCTTATGACCACTGTTTCCTGTAATTCTATTACTTACAAAGGGGTAAGCTTGATTCTGTATCTCAAATAACAAAGGATATATGGATATATACATATCCATTTACACAAGTTCAGCGCTAACATCCAAACAGATCTGAAGAATACTTTAATCTTACATTGAGTAATGTCATTTCTTCTTTCTCATATTTTCCCCAATTTTCTCAAAGTGAACACAAGTATATATTCCCAGATTTTGCATATTTTCAATATGTATGGGCATACGAAAGAGGCATAAATATATATTATAAGTATAGAATAAGAATACTTACAAGTATCCAAAGGGACAGTACTTGTCACATACAATAGGCTTGCATTTCTTGGGCCGTGGACGGCACTGACAGATCTCACAGTTGTGGGCATCAGTCTGGAACCCAAAGGAACAGTCCAGGGAGCAGCCTGATATGAGGCCTGTACAGAGTTCTTCTCCTGTGAAGAACATACGTAGATGATTGCAAAGCAAAAATAGTTTATACTACACAAATGGATCCAATGGGATGTCTTCAGTTCCAGTTAAGAATTTGAGGAGTAGATATAATACCCTATACTAATTTGATTTTGTGAAGTTATGCACATCCAACCAACAGCCATGACTGTCAGCCTTTAATAAAGCATTTAAAATAACATAAAGTTGTGACACACCATATTCATTGAATAGGTTTCTCTTCAATATAGAGCAACTTTTATTTCTAGTTTACATATTTCAAATAGAATTGAAAGGCTGGAATGTAAAAGCCTTTATTCCTTACTTAGAGTGCTTGCCGTCACCTGCTTGCTGATTAAAACTTGCTTCTCAAAAATATAAACTGTAATACTGGAAGAAGTGATTAAAACTTTGAGATGTTAGACTAAAAGACTTTCCTTCTGAAGTCTATTATTATGTTTTATTAACGTTTTGTGGCAAGGAAGGATGATGTTGGATTGGTGGTATATAAAATAAATTAATTAGAATTAAATTAATTAAAAGAAATTGGTGGCATTATAAAATGTAATTAAACTCTGTTTTGACCTCTGATGTGGTGTAAATGATGACATTTCCTGCTGATACTCTGAACTGACCCGAGAATAATCCTGGAAACACACATGGATTGATGAGTACCATTCATTTTCTGAAGCGTACTTTGTCACAGAGATGAAGTGTTTGGGTGGTTGTGCGTAATCAGCAGGCTCACAGAACACAGGTCAAGGAACAATAAGATACAAATGCAAAGGTGAGGGAGAAATAGGAAAAAAAAATCTAAAGGCATAGAAACAACAGGAATAATTTTTAGCTGGCATGTTTCTTTAAGTCACTTGTGTCCAGATTTGTGTTTAGGACTGCTTTCAAAGTGTGGCTACCTGATTTAAATATGAAGTAAAATATAGTACAATAGTGACTTCTTCAGAATCTCATGGATAAATATGTTTTTGTTTTCAATCTTCTGTTCTGCTTTGATTTTTATGATTTGTTTAGTGACACTGAAGTGCAAAATACATTCTTGAATGCAAAATTAATGTATCTTATTAAAAGGGTCAAAGTGTCTAGAACAGTGGTGTACAAACAGAATGAGTGTCTTATCCTAAGTAGTTCATGCCATTAAATTACTTAAAATTCAAACAGTCAGTTGGCATACCAATTAGACAATCTAGTCTGAAGGCAATCATGCTTGCTTAATCATTTATGTATTGAATTATCCTTAAAAGAATTCTGAATTTTGACTTTTTAAGGTCAAGAATGGATGACTGACTGATAAACATTGCCTCTCAAGAACAGATGCTGAAGAATATCCTCATCTTCATCATGCCATATGTAAAATATAATCCAAATTCTATCCATTTCAACACACAGGTAAAGTTTGCTGAATTCAATAGAAACTACTTCTCACATCTGAACTTACTAATGTAATGTCAGTGCTAGACGAGGACATCAGAATAATCTGTGCAGAACTCTACAGGCAATCCTTCTAGTAACATGCTAAAAATGATGCCTTCTGAGAAGCTGGTTGTTACTAAAATTAAATGTGCTCTCATATTTAAATTTCTGGCAATACAATATTACAAGCTGTGGACTTAGATTCTCAATAGGTTTTGAGAAATATTCTGTATAAAGAAATTCAGTGTTGTGGAAATCGTTGATTCTGGCCTGCTTTCTAACTTCACAACTAGCTATGCACATTTCTTTTTACTGAAACATTTTAAAAGACATGGAAAATTACAGGCAGCTGCAAACTGAAGTACCATCTGGTACACATGCACAGGCCTCCTGAAAACCCTATTTCACAGTTTTAAACAGGGCATTTTTTCAGAAAGCTGAGAGTGAACTTGCCAATTTTACAGGAACAGAGTTTAGCTCTATGAGAAAAAAGGGGAAAAAAAAAAAAAAGAGAAAAAAATGCCAGGGTTAGAGATTCACATGAAAATAAAATTTAATGAATGCAATTTTCACCCTGACACATAGCCATAACTATAACTTTAAATTCATTGTTAGTAAAATTATTACAAGTTCAACACGAAAGACAAGTAAAACCAGATTTCCTCCTAAGGCTCTGCAATACGAGTAAAAAGTACTAAAGAATGAAGACAACTGCAATCTACTCATGAAAGTCAGCAGCTATCATCTGAGATTTATTACTGAAAATATCAGGAGGTAGTTTGTTTTGGGGGGGCCTTATCCACTTTTGCTTAAATAAACTTCATCTAGAACCTGAATCCCAAATCATGCAACATATTCACAGGGAAGAGAGTCAGCCCTCAGTGAAGGTAACAGCTTCAAGCGTTTATTCCAAAGAAGCAGTTTGAGGATAGGAAACACTTTAAAAAGCTAACACTGAAGGAAAACTATCTTTTAGAGGTCTGGAGATCTGCATTACATGCTGACATGTTGCTGCAATTCTAACAGAATAGGCAAGCTTCATGATTATAGAATACTTGTTTTTCCTTGACAATCTTATATCTAATCGTTCAGAAACCCAATTAAAGGTTCAACAGGGGGTACAAAACTAAACAGAAATGATACAATGAGTAGGAAACAATAAAAGAGAATGCATCTTTCACTATGCTGCTTGAGAAATATGTGGTTGGAAAGCAGAGTTCTACATGAGAAGTAGAAACACATTCACTGATTTTTCTTATTAATTGTGAAATGCCAGTGAAGTAATGTCAATATAGAGAACAATCCTTTTACATAAGGTAATAGGAAGGCTTAGGGTGATAAACGGTAGTAGAATGAAATGTAATACTGAAAATGTATAAAATGCATAAACTGAGTTCACACACATGAAATTAATTGATTTCAGAAGGATAATAAAGCGATGTGACTTTAGAAAGAGACAGATATATTCCTGAATATCTCAGGCTAATATAACTGTACTTTTAACACAAACATTTTAATGTGAACATAGGCTTTAGATGAAATATAAAACAAAATATGAAACTAAATTCTAGAAAAATTTCAATTGAATCAAACACAGAAAAAGCTAGCACAATAATCAAAGAAAGACTGCCCTCCACCAAAGACTTTATCAAAATAGATTCCTACAGGGAATAAATACTCCCTGGAGAACAAACATGCCCTGAATACTTATAGCAGTGAATCCATCCCACGCAACAAGACCATACTGTTTTATTCTCTGTGTACAATGATTGTAAAGGTAGCAGCAAAGTCAGTTACCAACGATTCTATGTTTCCAGCCAGTCTTCACTAGGTCTCACTATATCGGCAGATGCTATTGCTTAGAGACTTTGACTCTATTCTAAACACAGCATTTCTAACAACAACTGGTTTGTAGCTGCAATCATTCATCACTTTACGTGCAGCCTTGCATATAGGAATTACACATTACTAGTTTCATTTGGATCAATTTAATAAGATACCACTAGAAAAAAATAGGAAAGGAAAGAATAGTTGAAGGTGAACCAGTCATCCAAAAACATCAGCGAATTATTAAGATACAAATAGCAGGATCAGAGTTTCTAAGTCTGGTCACTGTTGCCAAACAACTCCTCTTAATAGAGCAGTTTCTTTCTCCCCACTTCCTTCACCCACTCCCAAACACATGGGAGTTGTATGCACATGGACTAATAAGAATTAGAGTTTCAGAAGGGTGTGATGCTGCTTAAGAAGAATCTGATTGCGATATGTGGGATGGGACATGACTGTCAGAAGAAGAAAATCTTGTCTTAAAGACAAGGGATTATTACTAAGATATGATGAGACTGCACAGTGCTCTGCATGCAAAAGATTTGGTCTCAGTAATTCTTTTCCTCTAAATACCTCATTCTCAGTACTAAAAGAAATTCATTTCAAAGAGTTGTCTGTAAGCACTGTAAGACCTAATCACTCACTGCTGAAGGAAAGAAAAATATGCACAAAAATCAGAGCTGATGTGACATATAAATACCACTCTGCAAACAAGATGACAACATCATGCTCCAGAATATGTAATGTTATCAATGTTTGTAAGGGTTCATTCAAAACCCAGATATTTCAGATACAATGTAATCTCTCTTTCTCGGGTATGAGACCTTTGAGGCAGTGTGTCTTAGACCTAAGTTCCAACCATCAGATGTACAATTTATTCCTGATTTTGGAGTATTCACATCCCCAGTTTGCATGAGTAAGAGAAAATTTAGAATGTAGTGAAATACTTCTCAAAAATCACATTGTGAAGTGGACAAATGTCAGTTCTGTAAATTGTACGTTTAGGTCTAAAACTGTTCTCCCATTTGAAATTTAACAGCTTGACTGTAATTCTAGATAGCTCTTACATAAAAATAGACCTCCATTTTTTTCTTCTAACATAAATATGACATATAAAAAAAAGATCTAAGCTGTAAGATATGTTTTTCCCTGATTTATTATTTTATGTATGGACACTGATAATTTTATTCTGAAGACTGAAAGCCTTTTTAGGCTAAAATTTTTGAAAAGGCATTCCAGAGAAGCATAACCTGTTGAAATACTTTTAGTTTTTAATCCTGTAGTTCATAGTGAAAAAAAAAACAAAAACACTTTTGGACAATATTAGTAGCCATTTGAGAAGAATTATGTCAGTATTTCAACTTTGCTTAGGCCAGTGTCCACTTAAAAAAAAATATAGATTTGTAGCATTGCTAGACAAAGCTAGCTACATACCTTCACCATCATTATTTTCTTGACGCTGAGGCTAGATCATACCAGGAGAACTGTTTCACAGTACCTTTATAATTAAGCACTCCTCAGCCGTCCTCTCGGTGTGGATTGCTACTGCTGGGTAATCTTCAGGGGTGGGGATCTGGGGAGGCAAATTTATGAAGGAGAAAACTAGGTTACTTATCAGTAACTGGAATTCTCTGAATATATTGCCTCCACAGATCCACACTAACCCTCCCTCCTTTCTTTAGAATTAACTCATGATTCATAATAGCTGGATAAAAATGAAGGGATTGGGCACTGTGATGCTAGAAAAAAT